CTCCGTGGGAGATAGATGAGACTTTGTGCACCCCTAAAGATTTACAGCCTCGAAAACTCTATACAGGGTTGCTAAGAGTCAGAACGGCACACCACCACCACATCCCTATATTGAGCATACTATGGCCTGTCAGAAGAACAAATTTGTCTTGGAAGAAGTTCTGCCAGGGTATTCTTTGGAATTGAGGATGGCAAGACTTCATCTCAACATACTTTAGACATGTTATCAGGAGGGACAAGGCATTGGAGGACATGCCTGGAAAAGCAGAGGGTCAGAGGAAAACAGAGGAAGATCCTCAGCAAGATGGACTGACACAATGATTGCCAACAACAGGCTCAAACTTAGAAATTGTGAGGCTGGCATGGCACCTGGCAGTGGAGTAGGGCTTCCTTCTATACTTATTCTGGTCCCTAGGAGTCAGAAGTGACCCCAGCGAATCTTACAACAACTGAATTCCCATTTGAGCAACACTAAGATTCTGAGCACCGTTTTTTTGGCTATCTTCTTCAGTCGGCCACACCAGATACCTAAAAACGCTTTAGCTGGAGAGTCACCATTCCTATTTCTGCTCTTCCTTAAAGACCTCAATAAAATAATGTAATAGGAAATCAGATCTATAAGAATTATTAGGTTGCTCGTGGATGCAAAGCACTGTAAAGCTACCGGGAGAAAAGTCACGATAGTACCACTAGTATTACTACAAGTTGTAGTTTTTAGTCAGGATGTGAGAATCAGTGGAAGTCTTATCTTGCTGAGGCGGTCCCATCTCCCCACCCCTTCCTCTCTAAAGAGTTCCTAGCTTCCTTAGGATGCAAAATGTCTCCAGGGCCCAGCCTCCCTCACCGTGGAACTAGACCCTTCCGGGTCTGACAGTTTGCCCAGTCCTGGCTTGTTCATGCCTTGTCTGCCCACGCCCTTGACTGTTCTCTAGAAGAAGCCGGCGGATTTTCCTTGAGGCTGCAGAGTGGGCGGTCCTAGAACAACACCTGCAGAACCAAACCTCAGGTGCTGGGGGCGCCTCCGCAAACATGGGCTCTTGTGCTATCCCCAGTAGGGGGTTTCCGATGCTGTCAATCTTTACAGGAGCAGAAAGCCTCCTCTTTTTCCCGTGGAGTGCGCAAGTGCATCGTGTAACCCACTAGGCCATGAGGGCTGCCTCCCCCCCCATGTAACTCACTAGGCCATCAGGGCTCCTACACACACACACACACACACACACACACAAACACACACACGTTACCCAGTAGGCCATCAGGGCTACTACACACCCACCGTGTAACCCACTAAGTCATCAGGGGTCCCTGTCTCACACACACATACACTTGCCGTTCTCACACGTGACTCCACACACCCGCAGTTCTCACACGTGATTCCATACACACACCCGCCGTACTCACACGTGATTCACCCACCCTTCCACCCCCCCCTCGCGCGCGCGCGCGCACACACACAAACACACATACCGTTCTCACACGTTCACACGTGATTGAGTCTCAGCCAAGGAAAGCCTAGTTGTTGGCCTCCTGAAGTTCCCGGGTCAGATCCCATCCAGTCCATCTGCTCAGATCAGACCTAGCCGCCCACCGTCCCCGCCCTGTCCAGCTCCTAGCAAAACCCGGAGCAGCTGCTACTTAGCGTCTCCAGGGAGGCGGCGCGGCGCGGCGGACTGGGCATGCGCTATACGCAGGGCCGGCTCCCGGCACTAGAAGGAAGCAAGCGCGGTGATCCTGGCGTCTGCGCTGGGGTATGCGGTACTGCCTAGCGTGGCTGCTCCACACTACCCTGCCCGGCACCTTCCGCTCGGTCCTCAGCGCCCACCTGTCGTCTCCGGAGCGCCTCTGTAGGTAAGCGGAACGCAACGCCCGGGCCTTAAGGGCCCACGGGTCACGGTGGTTTAGAGCCCGGGTTGCAAAGTGGTGATTCAGCATTTAAAGCCGCCGCCGCCCCTCTAGCCGCTTGTCCCGCCAGCCTGGGGCCCAGTTGGCCGCGCTGAAGCCGCTCTAGGACCTGGAAGGGTGGCTAGCCGGGCGGGAGCCTGGTCCTAGGAGGATGGCGCCCTTCGGGTCTGTAAGGGCGGACGGGAGCGGTGACCCGGGGTCACGGGGCGTGTGTCACAAATGTTTGTGTGGGGGGCGCGGGGCACGGCTGAGTCACCCCGGCCTGCTTCCAGGGACTGCACCGTACCACTCTCGGGAGTTGCGTGTGAGAGGCCGGGAACACTAGGCAGACTGCCCTTACTACAGTGTAAAAGGGACCCGATGGGTCCCTGGAGACTGCTCGCCTTTCTCTCAACCCTGCTTTTTCATAAGAGGATTGAGCTTGCAGTGGCATATGGAAATGTCCGCGTGGGCAACTGTGAAAGTTTGTCTGCCCCTCTCTAGTAGCCCAGAGAAACCTTGGGACCGTCCACAGCAGCTCCCTTGTTACACAGCGAAGATAACTGAGGCCCAGAGATTTTTGTGATGTCCTTACAATTGCAGAGATTGTGGCAAAATCAGGATTAAGATTAGGGTTGTTTGTCGTCTGTCCAGAGACGTGCTCTCACCGCTTCACCGCGCTCAGTGTCCTCTGTAAAATTTCAGTCTTGTAGTGAAGGCTGAGTAGTGAGGAAGAAAGATGAATGGGCAAATATGGACACTGTTGTCGGACCTTACATGCATGATTTGAACCTCTCTTGGATTTAATCAATAGTATCTGTGACCTACTAAATTCACGGAGCTGTGATAGACCCTCTGTGTAATGTCTGCCTTTCATCGAAATTTTGAGTTGGGTGGAGCAGATTGAGGTGCCGGCTAATAAGGCTGTGCTTGACCAGGTTCAGAAGATGGACCATACTGACTGTGTGCCTTAGGAGAGCAGCGCCCGGCAGAGAGAGGAGGGGGCCTGGTTTGGCCTTCGCAGGATAGGATGACACGTAGGGATGGACGTGATCCAACCTAAGTCGCTATGAGTCGGAACTGACTCCGTGGCACTTAACAAGTGTGCTAGTAGTTTGTAATACAGTCTAGCTGAAGCCTGAATGAGTTTCCCTGAGGGAAGGACGATTGATTAGGATAAGGACTCCTGGTGTGGCTGTAGGACCAGCAGTGGACTTCGAGCCACATGGTCAGCAGTTCAAACCCACCAGAAACCCTGTACATGGTCGCTATGAGTTACAAGCAACTCTGACGGCACTTAACAACAACAGAGTAGGGTAATGGGCCTTGAATTTTAAATTCCAACCTTTTCCGCTGACTGATAGGAAGTCATAAGAAAGTTTTGAGCCAGGGAGTGAACTGATGATGAAAGTGATAGTTTAGGAAATTAATTTATTGGCTTTGTTCAGGGCATTAAGAAAGTAGAGAGAGACATGAGATTGATAAATCTGTTAGGATTCAGTCTTAAACGCCTGAATCAGGATGATGTTGTGGTTGATAAGTGCCCTTGAGTCAGTTTGGACTTGTAGTGCTCCTGTATAGGGTTTCTGAGGAGCACCTGGTAGATTTGAACTGCCAACCCTGTGGAGCAGTCCAGTGTATCCTAAAGCGCCACACCAGGATGATGAACCAGAATGCTGCTGCTGTTGTTGTGTGCAGTCAAGTCAGTTCCGACTCACAGCGACCTTATATAGGGTTTTCAAGGAGTGGCTGTTGAGTTTGAACCACCAAACCTGTGGTTCAAACCTACCTTGTGGTCCAGTGCTTTATCCTGCAGCGTCACACCAGGACTCTGTGAACTAGGATGAGACTAAAAAGGACTAATGTAAATGAATAATCTGTATAACTTGTTTTCCCTCTTCCATTTTTTATTATTCTACAAAACCCACTGTTTGTTTTGTTAAGTGCCATTGAGTTAGTTCTGGCTTATAGCAACGCTGTATAGGGTTTTCAAAGAGCAGATGGTGGGTTTGAACTGCTGACCTTGTGGTTCACAGTCCAGTACTGATCCTACAGTGTCACACCAGGAGTCTGCAAAACCTATTACAACCAGTATAAAGATCCCAGAGCCTAGTGAGAAAAGTGGGAGTGGTAAGTGGAAGAAGGTACCTCCTACTGCCCATTTAGGGATGAGAACATTTTCCTTTGCCCTTAATTTTTTTGCTACTAGGCTCAGTTTTAGCTCCATATTGTCTCCAATATGGAATTTTGTGATTTTAAAGAAAACACCAAGTTTTAACAGGTTCTAGTTACAGTTCAATGTTTTTCTTATAGTTTTCTCCCACTGCATGTCATTTTCAGTGACAAGTCTAGAGCATAGATTGACCAACCAGAACTTCAAGATAATAAGATTGTTCTCAGCGAATGAAACTCAAAGAATGAGTTTCAAAACATGATGACATCAACTATATAGAAAATTCCACCCTAAAAATTGGTGGCTAGGGAGGGTGAGGAAAATAAAGGTCCAATCAAAGGGATCAGGGTGTAATTTTAGGAAGGAAAAGTAGTAACATCTATAGTTACCACGTGTTCAAATCTTAAGGAAGGTAATCGGTAGAAAGAATATGTTAACACAGATAACCGCACAGCTTTACTCTCCAGAGTTGGGGCTTATCCCATGTTTCTCTGATGCCAGAGCCCAAACCCTCAACTGTTATACAGTACTGCCTCTGCCTGTATTTGTGCATTTATTTCCTGGTCTAACCTCTTGAGAAAGAGATGGCTTTCAAACATTCAGTTCATTTATAAAGCAATGACATTGCTCTTTGTTCAGCCATGTTGGATAAGTTAGACTGTGTGGAGTTGCCTGGATTAATGGGAATTCTGAAAGTAATAGCCCAGTTCCTGGCAACCTCTGAGACATTTTACAGGCAATAGGCATTTTACAGGCAACTCTATTTTGCACTTAACTTCCCTATCCCAAAGGGAACACATTGGCTCCATATGATAGATAAGTACTGGACTGCTAACCACATGGTCCGAGGTTCAAGCCCACCAGCTACTTTGTAGGAGGAAGCTGAGGCTTTTTGTTCTGTGGAGATTTTTTAAAGCCTCAGAAACCCTATATAAACTCGCTATGAGACAGAACAAACTCTGTGGCGCTTAACAACAACAACAAATTCCAAAGGAGCCCTGGTAGCATATGGAGTTGATTGTACATTGGGCTGCTAACCTCAAGGTCAGGCGCTCAAATTCACCAGACACTTTGCAGAGAAAGAGGAGGCTTTCTGCTCCTGTAAAGATTTATAGGGAAACCCTATACGAGGTCGCCATGAGTCAGAACCGACTCCACGGCACACCACCACCCTGCTTACTATGGAGTCCTAGTGTGGTGGTGTAGGATAAGCACTGGACCGTAATGTCAGTTTGAACTTCAAAGTTGGCAGTTTAAACTCACTAGCCCTCCTTGGAAACCCTATACAGTGTCGCCATGAGTTGAAACCTACTTGATGGTACATAGCAGCAGCAGCTGCATTCTAAACGTTTAGAAATCGTGGTGTGTGAGATTGAACTATTGAGATCAGACTTTTCAATACTTTAAACTAGAATACAAATGCCTTGTGATAGTCTAAAAGGACAGGATACCCTTGAGTATCTGTAATTATTATTAGCCCAATCCACACATACTAAAACGTTTCATTCTATTTGTCTTATAAATTAGGGATGATATATTCATTAGAGACTAGCAGGGGGGAACGTCAGTGTATGTATTTGTTGTTGTTGTTGTTATGTGCCACGGAGTCAGTTCTGACTCATAGTGACCCTGTACAGGGTTTCTGAGGCTGTAAATCTTTACGGGAGCAGAAAGCCTCATCTTTCTCCTGCAGAACAGCTGGTAGTTTCAAACTGCTGACCCTGAGGATAGCAGCCCAATTTGTAACCTCTACGCTACCAGAGCTCCTTATGTATTCATAAGAGTTGGTTTTCTTTCTGTGTTTCAATTGGTATTTTAGATCTCCTGAACCTGTACCCAGAAAATCAGTCTTTCCTTTATCAGGTGACAAGGCTAAAGCGCTCTCTCTCCATAAGGGTAGATCCTTGGGTACTTTGGATTGTGCAGCCTCAGTTAGGGTCTTCATACCTAGTTTATCTTCAGTTTGCTTTCACTCTTCACTGTTCATTCAGCCGTTGTTTGACTACCCCTTCTGTAGTGAACACTTCCTGTGCCAGCATTGTGGGGATGAAAAGACACTCAGCCTATAAATCCTGCCCTTAAGGAGCTTTTTGTAGAATAGTGACTTAACGCCATTTCTTTACCTCTGACCTTTTACTAAACATTTCTACTTTGTGTTCTGTTGCTTCTTTCAATTTATTTGGAAACGCAACTCAGTATTTTTGTCACAAAACTCTGCATGCTTCTTTTCAAAGTGATAATCACCTGAGGGTAAGGTTTCACATTTTATTAGCACATAGTAGGTACTCAGTACATATTGCTTGAATAAATGAATGAATTAGTGATCTTCCTTCAAAACCAGTTTTCTCTGCTTTTTCCAGTTTTACGTATGCTGTTATTTATTCTTTTCTCACTTTAGCTTGAAAATTGGAATGATCTTTGAATCTTTCTCTTTCCCTCCCTGACTTTTATAAGTTACCAAGTCCTGTTGATTCTCCCATCCTTGAATTTCTTCGAGTAATCTTGAACCCTGTAACCATTGTAATTCATCTTTACTGACAGCTCACGTCTTCAGGTTTGCTGACCGATTTTTCTGGCTGCCTGTCTCCCTACCAGTTAATGCTAACCACTACTGTCTGATTAATCTTACTAATATTTCATTTTCACCATGCCATTGTCTTATTTAAACATCAGTGGTTTTGCACTACTTCAGGATCAAGCCTAAATGCCTCAACCTGGCATTTAAGCATCCTATAGGCTGACCTTGGAGTCCTGGTGTAGCACTGTAGGTTAATGTGCCAGACTACAAAGCCGT